TACATGTTTCTGTTTACTTCCCTGATGAGCAGCTCTAAGTTGTTTATTGGTAGGTTTTACTTTATCAGTGGTTCTTGTGATAAGAACTGCTCTCTTTGACTGTGTAGCACTTCTGCATATTGCTCTGAGAAATCTGTAGTGTTCACAGTGGCTTTGGGAGTCCAAGGTGGGAGAATGGCTTGAGACCAAGAGTTCAAGAGCAGCCTTGAGGCTCCATCTCAAGAAAGAAAGGCAGTGGGAAGAGAGAAAGAGAGAGGGAAAGAGGGAGAGAGAGAGAGAGAGCAAGGAGAAGTAGTAGAAGAAGAACAACAACAAGAAGAACTAGAAAAAAAAGAAAGAAGGAAAGAGAAAGAAAGAGAAAGAAAGACAGAAAGAACGAAAGAAGGAAAGAAAGAAGGAGAAAGAAAGAAAGAAAGAATGAAAGAAAGAAAGAAAGAAAGAAAGAAAGAAAGAAAGAAAGAAAGAAAGAAAGAAAGAAAGAAAAGAAAAGAAAATTCGTGGTCTCTTTTCAAGCCTTTACCGCAGGGTCACAAGCTGTTGCCTCCACTTCATCTGTTGCATTCCTTGGTCCCAAACTTCTTAAGCTTTCAAAGATGTGTTCAAAGACTTTGTAATAACTTATGAAACTTTGTGAAAGTATTTCCTCCCGAATTCTTCCTGCTGGTTTATTTTCCATTTATCTCACAGAAATACCAGCCCAGGAATGATGACTGGCTCTTTAGGGTCTTGGGCTCCTCTGGATTATCTGGAAAGAGGGGTCTTCCATACCCCTCCCACTGCCAAAGTGGTAGTAGCTCTTCTGAATCACCCAGGAGGAAAATACAGACTTGCCCCCACGATGTGGAGCAGGGCACTCCTAGCTTTGCCAACATCTCCCCTGCCTTGGAGGGAGTTTCCTTCTGTATGGGAAATGGGAGTGACAGGTTCTATAGAGTGGTGATGTGGACATCAAGAAGGTGTGCTATCATTTTCTATCAAATAAAAATGCAATTTTCAGCAGACAGGAGTTAGATGAAGAGGCCCAGGTCCATCTTGGATTTTTGAGCCACGATCACTGGAAGGGAGGAGTCCCATACCTCTGGCATGTCAACGGTGACAGCTACCCTAACCCTGGAGGTGGTTCGAGGGACAGAGCTAAAGGGAGCCTCAGTCGGTCCATCAGAAGGTTCAGTCCTCCTGTCACCCAGCCTCCCACAGCCATTTTGAAATATCTTTCCAAAGAAGACAATGGGAAACATCTAGAGAGATGCTGGGCCCCCAGAGAAGGCAAGCACTACCTCTTTTGGAGGGAAGCATATCTGCAGGTTTGGAAGCCCAGGCCCTGCCAGGAGTTTTACAGGACCTCAGCCTACCACAGCACAGTAGGCATTCACTAAAGTGTTGTGGACTACATAGTTTCATCACTTTCCTTTATCCTTGCCTTTCCTTCAGCCAACACTCCTTCCTCCTCTCCCTTCTCTGCAGGGAGCTACAGCCTTCCCAGACCTCTCCTGCTGAAATATCAACTGCATCCCAGCTTTTCATACCCGTTCACTCACTACCCCACCCTTGGTCCTTCAAACTTCTCCTGAGCTGAGCTTCAGTCTTACAACCAATCTCCTGGCAGGGTGCATATATATATATGTGTGTGTGTGTGTGTGTGTGTGTGTGTGTGTATTGCTGTTTTCTAGACCATCAGCTCTGCCAGGGCAAAGACTTTGGTCTGTTTCGTTGCTGTGGCGCCAGCACTAGGAAAGGCACATAGTAGAAGCTCAATAAGTATATGTGGAATAAATGAAAGGCCAAGGGTGCCAGAATGCGATCGACTCCAGAAGCCGGAAGACTAGCCGGGCCAACGATTCAGTGGGAGAAGAGGGGGACAATCAAATAATCTGGTGACCCGCAAGGTTCGCAGGTGCCTCAGGTCCAGGAGATGACCCGTGATCAAAGGAGCCTGAGAACTTTCAGAGGGAGAATGAATGATTGAATGTGAGAATGCGGACACCGGAGTGTGCCCAGCACGAAGGAAACAGCAAGGAAGAGGGCAGTGCTCCAGGCGCTGCTAAACTCTGGCGGGTGGTGCTCGAGGGCCACTGCCACACGCACTCTCGTCTCCGCTAGTGCGGCCCAAGCAGCGCAGTGGGGCAGGTTCCTTCGCAGGCCACCGGGTGCCCAAGGCTGCGTGCTAGGGCTCAGTAGCTCCCGGCAGCGCGCTCGAAGCAAGGGCTCAATGTGCGGTGAGACTTTCTGCTTCCCGGGGAGGCTCCGAAAGGCCCTCGAGCCAAGGGCGCCCGAGGACGCGAGGGTGGGCAGGCCAGTCCTTTAGGGTGGGGACCAGCTGAAGGCCAGACCTCCGACGCCAAGCTTGATGCAGCTTTTATAATTTTTCTTTATCCAGCAGAATCTCTTGAAGGGACGACGGTCCAGGCTCAAAGCGCAGAAAGGTTAGGACCTACTAGTATAGGGTGGGACTAGGGAGCAAGGTCAGGCCAAGAGGCCAAACCCTGCTTTGCTGAGAGAGGTGGTCACACAGGACACCCCGCCCCAAGGCGTTCTCCCGTGAAAGCCCAGGGTCCCTGCCTTCAGAGGACGAGACTGCTGCGGGGCTGCCCGGAAATAACCTGAGTTTGCACCCACCCCCTCTAACCCCAATCTCCAGCCAGCTTTCCCACTTGCGACCCGGAGGCTGCGAGCTTTCCCGGTTCTCTATGCCAATAATTGGAGGATCCCTCTCTCTCCCCAGAACTCACTCCTGAGCAGTGTGCTGGTCGTACAGCAACCTAGTCACCTGGGAGGAGTTGGTCGCCCGGACGACTTCTAAGGTCTTCCCCGCGCCATCCCCCAGAGTAGTTTTTCGGGGCGTCCTGGGGCAACAGGAGGTTTTCTGCCTCCCACTGTCGCTTCGCCCCAGGCTCCTTTTCAGAGGGTCCTAGGGAAGAGGAGGACTGAGAACCGCGTGGTCCCCACTGAGCCTGGGGGTGAGGGGACGGAGGAAATGGGCCATGAAGTGTCCTCGCGAGTCCCTGTGAGAGTTTCTGAACGCGTGCCCAAATAGTGAGTGGGAGGCATTTCCCGGCCTGTCCAGGGATCTAGAGCGGTCCTGCTAGCGCGCAACCAGCCCGTGTTTCCGGAAAGGCCTCCCTGCGCGCCGGGTGAGCAGCCAGCGCCAGGCGAGCCCAGAAAGGTGGAAGTCACGGTGGAAACGCCCGCCACGCTGCTGCTTCTCCAAACGCGCTCTGGGAAGGGATTAGGCGCCCCCTGCGCTTTCGCTTTGGGCGTGATTGATGCGAACGGCGAGCTAAGGGCTGCGTAATTAATAAAGATTGTGACGGTTTTGTGGAAACGTTCCTCTTAATTAATGAAGGAGGGGGTTCTAAGGGTGTTTGATTTGCATTTGGAAAATTCCCTCGGCGGCTCGGGCTCCGTGGTGAAGCGGCCGCTGGGACCCGGGACTAATTGGCAACCGCCCGGCCGAGGCGTTCTTGTTCCGGATCAAGTGTACCCCCATCCTGTTCCCCTCGCCCCGAGGTCTACCGGGCCGCACTCCCTGGGGCTCAGGGCCCCACTCAACTCTGTCTGCATTCACCCCTCCTCAAATGGGTCTCCTTGCCTTCTGCGGACATTGGCGGGCACCCCCGCCCCCCTAGCCCCGCACGTTTCCCGCAGAGCCTCCTGATCCTTCTCCATCTAGAGGGTACCTCCAGGAGCCCAGATCGCCGATCCTTGGGCTTGGCCAGGGCTTCCGTCGCTGTCCCCTGGGAGGGGGCCGAGGGATGGAAAGAAGCATTTATTCCGTGTCTCTAAGGCCAAAGGGCGCTCAGGGAACGCTGAGAACCCTCCCCGCCCTGCGTGATTTTGTGTGTGTGTGTGTGTGTGTGTGTACATGTGTGGCTGTTTGTGTCCCTGTATGGGTCGTATATGTGTGTTTCTAAATATCTGGGAGTGGTGCGTTTTGTTAAAATACTACCTTTTCTCGGACTTTACTGTTCACCTGCTGCAGCCCAGGTAAAAAAAGTCTCCTCTCCCTAGCGTTGCCGCCGTGAAACACACTTTCGCTTTAACCGTAGACTCCTCCTGGTCCCGGGTTGGAGGGGGAAGCAAGTGCTCCCTGCCCAGAAGGAGCTGGGGGCAGGGAAGTGGGAGAGACCCAGTGGCCGCGTGCAGGGCCCGAGAGCCGAAAAGTGGCTTCAAAGGTTTTGGTAACGACTCTTCGGCCTTTATTTATGCCCCTATTAATACAATATCCATCATGTAGATATCGATCTTTATCCTTTAAACTGATACGCTGAGAATCAATTAGCCATGCAGATTACGTTTCCTACATATCCAAATGTTAATCTCTTAGGCTCAGAGCCGGTGACAATATATTTTTGCAGCCAAATAGTATTAGATTTCGTTCAGAAAAAAAGAAGACGAAGAAGAACAGGAAGACTCTCCGAGGCTCCTTCCTCTTGGGGCTACTTGTCTTAACTCTTGGCCAGGCTGGGGCTGGGGTGACCCTCACAGAGTTTTCCGGGGCCAAGAAGCGAGACCCCGAGGATGGTGCGCGCGCAGGGCCACGGCGGGGAGCCGGGCAGCTTTCTGCAAGAGGGCTGTGGGAGGTTGGCGGGTTAGCGAGGGGTCTGCCCTTCTGCCGCGTGCTCCCTCCAAGCTAATCAACGCGTCTCCGTGGCCCCTTTCTATGGGTTTCTGTGTCGGAGATGGTCAGGTTTCATCTTTTTAGAATTTTTCCACCTGGTTCTCCAATCTCCAAGGTTCTGGATCAAAATTATTCTCCTGTCCCTAGCCCCCAAACCTACGACTTGTTTAAAGGTTCATCTCCAGAAAAAGAAACTTTATTTAAAAGAGGAAACCGGTGTTTTCTTGGGTGACGGGAGATGAAAAAGTTTAAGGTCTAGGAAGGAACTTAATGAAAGTCATATGTAGAAATTCAGGAAGCTGAGGCATCCTGCTTTGGTTGTGGTGATGAGAGTTTCTCCCCTCTTCCCTCGCCCACGCCTTCCCTCCATTCTTCCCTCACTTTAATATATTTTTTTAAAATTTATTTCCTTCTTTCTCTCTTTCCTTCTCTCTCTCTTTCTTCTTTTTCATCCCCTCCGCCTCTTCCCCAGTTTTGAAAGAGTGAGGGGTCGAGAGAGGACGTGTCCTAGGGCAGGCAGCCCTCCCGGGGTCTGTGGACTGCGGGCTCTCGGGAGACGCCCGGGTGGAGTCGAGTATCTCCGAGAGGCAGGTGCGCGCAGCACGCTTCAAAACGCCTCTCTGCAGTCCCAGGTCCGCGCTCCCCAAGACTCTGGCCAGATCGCGCGGGGCTTGGCCCCTGACAACTCTGCCTCCTCCACCTGTCGCGTTTACTCCGTTTAGTTGGCTATGTAGTCTCTGGCCCCAGATGTGCTTTTAAAACCCGAGGAACGCGGGTGCCGGACTCGTTCTCAGCCTCTTCCCTCGGCGTCCCATGATCCCACTGTGGCGAGCTTCCGGGCTTAGCGAGGAGATGTGGGTTTGAACATTCGTCTCCCATGTTTCTCTTTTCTTGCTCCTCGCGTCACTGGCCCCTCTTCCCTACCGCTGAAATCCATCTCGAGGAGAAATTTTCTCCGAGGGTTCAAGAGACCCAGGCTGAGAAGCGGCTGCGGCTCACTGCGCTGGTTCAGGAGCTGGGGCCGCGTGAAGTCGGAAGGAGTCCAGTATGGATCTGAGCGAAATAAAGACCTGTTAGTTCCCCCCGCCCAGTACCCTCCTCCCCCAAGAGCAGGACACACAGCCCCAGCTCTTTGTGTACAGGCGCCCGGAGGCAAGAGTTCCTGGAGTGGTCACTCGCCTACTTTTTTGCTCCAGGAATCAAGGAAACCAACGGACCCCAAGATTTCTTTTATTCACTTCTTCCAACTCTGTTCCCGCCCCGACCTCACTCACAGCCTTCGCCTGACTCTGCAGAGGTCAGACTTTCTGGTCTTTCCAAGGCCCAGGCTGCCTGCCTCCAATATAAGACGGTCCCTCAGCTAAGTAAGGCCCTTCAACTCTTACCCCTTTCACACACTCCAGGTTCTTTCACTCACACACATACACACAGCCCGAATACACACACTCCCCGAATACACACACCAAAGAGCAGTTGCTGAATTTCTCTTCTAAACATCACCTCCACCCCACCATGAACTTTTACCTAATTGAGTAGAACATTTTTTGGAAGATTAGACAGACTTACTCTAATTTTCTAAAAGACACCTTTCCCCCTCCCCCCACCCGGAGAATCGGGCTTTGGAATCTTGTCTTCCTTGTTTTGCCTAAAAATAATTTTCTCAGACCCAAATGGACTAGGAGACCAACCGCTATGAGATGTATTCTCTCCCTCCCTCCCTGGCTTTAAAAACCTCTTTCTTCTTTCCCTCTTTTCTTTTTCCTTTCTTATTTTCCTTCTTCCTTTCCTATTTTCCGTCTTCCTTGCTTTCTTCCCACAAACCACATGTTCTTCATTGTAAACCCGCTCACAAGTTCCCTGGGGCTCCCCCAGCTGCAGGAACAAACCCACTTCTGCTGGCCTACACCACGTTTCAATGCGATATCCACATCCTCATCCAGTCCCTTAATCTGAACTCATCCCGACTGATTTTTCGATGGGGAGAAGAGCGGCGCCAATGCTTTTGACAAATAACTGCGGGGCGCCTAATGGCGGTCACCGAGGCAGCGACTGCGAAGGACCACGGGTTTAACCCGGGCATTCATCAATCCTGTATCATCACATCCGGACCGGAAGCTCATGATCAGGAACCTGGCGTTTCGATATCCTCCCCCTGAGCCCCCGGCAGCCTTTCTGTGGGACTGGGGGTTTCTCGGCGTTTGCCCAAATTTTACTGCATCCTGAGAGTCACGCCTGGGGCTGGGCGGGTGGCCAGGAGCTTCTCTGCTCGACCGTGTCAGCCTGCTAGAGCTTGGCCCTTCAGACAGGACGAAAAAGGCCTGGGTGGCAGACGCCAGTCCCGCTCCCTACTAGGTCAGGGACATTATTTTGAATAGATCATAATTTCCTCTTAAGACTTGTGTTTCACTGAGTATGAACTCATCCCTCAGAGGCCCAGAGGAGTTCGTGGGCCATGAAACCCTTGTGCCAGTGTCCCCAAGTGCGGAGGCTGTGCGCTGAAGGGTACGTCGCAGCCCAGACTGAAGTCACCCAAGCGCGACTAGGCTGTAGGTCCACGCATCCAAACGGGCTGCAAGGTAGAACCTTCAAGCCAACAAGGGCTAGCTCCACCCAGGCCTGGACAGGCAGCCCACTGTTAATTTCACCTGCAGCGGCTCTGAAATTGGAGGTAGAGGGGCAGAGGGGGCAACAGAAGCTATTCCCCCCGCCCCCTGTTTTTTTTGTTTGTTTGTTTGTTTTTGGGGGTTTTTTTTTGGTCAAATTATCCAAGTACTGTCTTCAAGACTCCGGTTTCATTTCGAACGTGCACAGAGCGTGAGTGGAGGCTAAGTTCGTTCACAACACCAAGAGTCCCCCTGATGCGTTCTGGGTAATTTGTTAGCCCGGGGAAACTCCACTGCCTCCCAAACCTGGGTTCAAGGATGCAGGCGCGGGCCCTCGCCTTCCAAGCCCCACCGCTGGGGCATTCCTTTACCAATTAGCACCTGTACCGCGGCCAAATTTGGCACCAGGACTCCTTGGCTCACCGGCTCCGGATAGGGAAGTGGCCTGGACTCCCACCAAGCTGCGGGGATTGGGGGTGCGGTGGCTTGGGCTCCGGAGAGACTTCAGAAAGAAATAAAAGGGAGGCTCAAGCCTCGGAGATAGAAAAAGAGTGGCTGGAATCACCCGACTTTCCTGAGACCTGTTGCGCCCGGTTCTGCGGAGTCCCGGGCTCTGAGCCGGGTTAACTTCGGCAGAGTGCGGGCGCCCTAGACCCGGCAGCCTCAGCCAACATTACTGTCCTGGCCATCCCAGGTCGGACTTCTGGGACACAGGCCACAAGAAGTTTAGATTCCCGAAGTCTTTGGATGTGGCTCAGCTGTCCAGAGCCTAAGGGTGCTCATCCACCCCTCTCCGTGTCTCCAGGCACCTCTGGCCACTGCCCGGTGGAGAAGGGCCAAGCTGATCCTCTGGGTACATATGAACCTCAGAGCGCTTGGCAGAAGAGAAAGAGGCCGGAAAGGAGAGAAAATGAGTCGCCCCCTGATTCCGGAGTCACATCCTCGTGGCCTCCATTTGTACGATTTTATAGCAAGTGGTGGCTAGTTTATGAACCAGCCCCCATGGACACTTAAGACTCGGCTCAGCCGGCAGTACCTCCGTTCAACGGTCTCGCGGACTCTGCAGTCTAAGGGACCCGGAGAAGGAAGCTTGAATAAGCGCCTCCCTCCAGCATCTGCCGGCTCTCAGGAGAGAAAACTGCCGGCAGGAGAGAGACGGGTGGACTCTGGGAGGGCTTGGCCAAGCCCCCGGCTCAAAAACAAATGAGACTCAGTCCTAGATGTTCTTTAACTGCTCGCGGGGTGCCAGAGTTTATTTTAGCTGAGAGTTGAGCCTGCATTTGCCTTCTTGAAATTACACTTCGGATACCTCCTTCACCCAACAATTACCGCTGACCCCAGAAAGTGCTCTGTCGGCTCTGCTCAACCTTTGGGAAGAAGAAAACTTGGAAAAAGTCTAACTCTCAAAACGCTGTCGCTGAGAAGTGGCTTAAAAAATAAGGACACAGGCTTCGGTGACCCCAACTCCTTAAAAAGAAAATAAGACAATTTTCCCCTTGAAAAAAATGGAATCATAATTTGTAAAACCAAGTTAAACAAGGCACATGCCTCCCTCATGGGTCCAGACATTTTTGGGAGTCTCCTGAGACCTGTCCCCGTGGCTCTGAGGGTCAACCAAGCCTTCTGGCATCAGGCAGGCTGAAAGCTTGTCTGTTTTCCCCTATGGTGGGTGGGTTTTTAAAGGACCAACTTGTGGACTGCTGAGCAGCTATACCCCAACCCCCTCACCCCCCCCCCACCATCTTGCCTTCTGAGTTTGCCTTAATTGGGGAATGGCGAAGTACGGTGGGGGCCCGAGTTCACGTCAAAACTGTCAAAGGAGGTGGGGGAGGGGGACAGAGAGAGAGGAGTGGAGAACTCCTGGCGCACGAAAAATTCAAAAATCGTAAAAGGAAAAGGGGGAACTTGAAGCCCAGAAGTCATTGTTTCCTTTATTTCAAAGGGAAAAACCTGCCCGATTCTCATCCTTTTGATTGATTAAGGCCCTGAATACCTCGCGGACCCGGAGTGACAGTCTCTGAATAGACTCGAGCGAATAAAGCGCAGTGCAGAGCGCGGGGCTGGCACTCGGGGGTGTAAAGGAGGCGAGTTCGCTGGCACTTACCAAGTTATAAATAAAGGGCTATGCACAATGGTACCTTCTCTAAGGACAGACAGTCTTTACAACACTCCTGGCGTCATATCCTGCTGGGGACACTTCAGCTCCTAGCCAAGACTTCGTTCCTTTTATTTTTCCAGCAGTTTAGTCTGAATGCCATAATAAATTCCTGAGAACAAACGCTGCAGCCGGGCAAAACTTTAACATATAGACACATCTCTGTCGACGCATCGGGGATCTATATGTGGAGATTTAGAGCCGCAGCTTGCCAGAGGGGTTTTTAAATCAAGGAGAGGAACCGGGTTTTTTTCTGCACCCTCCCCCCATATCCCCAGTCTTCAACTAACGAGGGCTTGGGCCTAGCGACGGCTGCCTGTGCTTCACACTAGCCCAGCTTGCAGACGGAGAAGACAAAAGAACATCAGCACACCCTGGACTCACTCCCGGGAGAAACCCCATCGAGAGGACCCCTTAACAAGCCTAGGCCAAGGGGCAGTGACCATAGGAAGGAAAGCTAAATATGTCTGGGGCCCCAGATGCCTTCTTATTGGAATTGTGCCCCCTCCAGTGGCAGTAAGCCAAGAGAAATGAGAGCGAGACCTACAGGTAGAAAAAATGAGACATAGAGAGACACAGGAAATCACAAGAGGAATAGAGGCAGAGCGAGACACATAAAGAGAGACACAGAAAGAGACAGAGAGACAGAGAGACAGAGAAATAGAAAGTCAAGGAAAGAGAGATCAGACACACACACACACACACACACACACACACACACACACTCACACAGAGTGACAGAGACAGAGAGACAGAGACTCGTCTCCACCCTCAGCTACTGCCATTTCCCTAGGGCTGTCTCTCTCAGTTTCCACCGGGCCACCCTTCTCTCCTGGGCAAGGGGCGCAGCGCGGGTCCCCCTCGGGGCCGGCAGAGGCCTCGGCACCACCAGAGATGGGAAGAGAAAGTGGCCGCTGTCGCCCAATCAGCGCGTGTCTCCGCCACCCGGGACGGTCTCCCCATCGGCCAATCGCAGCTCAGGGCTCCTGACCAAGCTTTGGGCAAAAGAACTAATAAATGCTCCCGAGCCCGGATCCCCGCACTCGGTGTCACCACAGGAGGAGACTCAGGCAGGCCGCGCTCCCGCCTCACCGGACTCCCCGGCTCGCCGTGGCTCTCTG